TATTTATATGAGATAAGAAATTGTTTTCTTTATTATATCTAAGTCTAATCATATAACATTTTCCTATTCAGTTTTTCATGCTGATTCAGAATATAGTACTTTGGCAATACTCAGAAAAGAGCTGAAATAAAAATTTGGCAATTTTTGTAAGAAAAACAAAATTTAGCATAAAAATATGTTTTTTCTCAGGTGTTCTCATTTCTTAAGATTTTTTCAGTCAGGTAGTAACTAAATCGAAATAAAAAGTATATATTCTTGATCAGCTTTTCAAGCTCTATCAAACCATATATAAATAAGCGAGAAACAAAATTTACTCCAATTCTGCTTTAGCGGCACCTTATTTATATTATACGAACATAACAATATGCTCTACGACGATGTAGATATTTTTGTTAAATCAATTAATGTCAAAACCATAAAACGACATATTTCATTATAATGATTTTAAGTTGAATATCTCTACTGTCGTTCATTTTTCTTGCTACATCATTATCAAAATTAAAGTTTAACATCTTAGTGGTAGCACGCAAACAAAATGTGACAACAAATAATGATTATGCATAAATGCTGATGTTTTCTTTTTTTCACAATCCATGCCAGGTTCACAGTAGAAGATAAGAATATTCTATCTAATACTTTATGAAGACTTTCTGTTTTATGCAGTGAATCGAATAATCCCCCAGAGCAAACGCCTATTTTTGAAAGCAGAGACACATATTGCATGTTAAAATAGCCAGAAAATCGGTGAGTATAATATCGCTTGTGAAGTCGCACCGCTGCCTTGCATTCATACTCGAGAAAAAATTAGTTCTATCATTAATTTCAATCTGATTGTTCTAACAGATCTCCAGAATACAAACGATTATGTGATATCCAACGATTCGATTTAAAAAAAAACTGACAAAAATAGATTATTACAAACTAAAAGAGTAAATAACCAATTGAATCATGAATTGCATTCTTCTTTCAGAATGATGAAAAATCAAACATTTGACTAACTTGAAAATATAACAGCACCAAACTCTTGCAATAAAAATAAATTTTATTCTAAATTAAAGTATCTCTTAGTTAAATTGGCGAATCTAATACTTAAAACAAATAAATGCTATGAGATCTAAGAACATGAAAATTACATAAATTCTATAATGCATATTTTTTGAATGAAAATTGTTTTTCTTTGTAGAAATAATGGTATACTATTTTTAGATGTACAATAACTCATCATTATCAGGTAGGGGATTTGCCAATTCGACAACACGATACCTCGATTCAGAGAAATATTTTTCAATGTACTTATAGAGCTTGATGGAAAAAAAAGAAATTAATGAGTAAACAACATTGCTGGACATCTTTGTCCGACTGAGCGATATTGAAGAGATTTAAACACTATAGAAGTTAACAGTTAAACGGGATAATTAAGATGCTAACATTTCAGATATCATTAAAGCTGTAATGAAATATGTTACCAAGACAAAAATGACGATCAGATAAAACTCTTTTAAAGTAACTCTAAATAACATTATATATATATTGGTATATGGATATATTGGGTCATCAGTTTCAGCTACATTGTTCACAACAACTAAAACATTCATTACTAGAGATGTGGCTCTTCCTAGAATTAGAACTTGATAAAACTATTCACTCTTGTGTAATCATATATTGTAAAGAAAAACTTCTTGATTTTCTTAACTTTACAATCTATCTACCTATTCATATTTAACAGAGATTAAAAATAGAACAATAGATGAGAAACTAGACAATGCATTTGTTTCATCGTTTTGAAAATTGAAGACAATATTTCTTTGATAGGTGCTTGGTCGACTTGGTACGTACAAAGGTATTTTAACTGATATTTTCTGTCGAGAAAAAGATTTTTCATCTATGACCATACATTCTCATACAGATAGTTTTTTGCTTAAGATATTATCAATTCTAATGCTCTTGTTTATTTACACAAGAATATCTGCTAAATGAATATCGTATAAGACAAAGCTTAGTGCAATAGATCTCATACTACATGCTAACAACATTAAAGAAACCTTGTCATGATTGTTTTTCTTTACGTCTATTTGTATATAACATTTATAAACAAGTAGGGTGCATGAGACGAGACATTTGATGTATGCCCCATGATAATGCACAATATACAATCAAGTGAAGGTGATTGTAGGAGTGTGTGGAATATCCTTTCACAAACAATGGAAATAAAGTAATGATAAAATGGAAAGACAACAAAGTTCTAAAGAAATATTCTATAGTGATATTAGTACATCTATGTCAGTTGAGTTATTTGCAACAGAAGTATAGGCTACAAAAAAAAGAATCTTCAAAAACTCTCTATCAAGATTATTCAATCATCACCCGAAATCAAATGTAAGTGGATAAGTTTTGTATTTGTGAAAATTGATTGTTCAGAAAAAAACGTTCAATCAGTTATAAACGAGCGACATCTTACTTATTTGAGGTCACATCATATGAATAAAACAAACCAATCGATATGTGTGCCCTTCTGTGCCTTCCGGTTACTTTTTTTTGTATTGTTCTTTTGTTCGTAATCTGTACTCAGTTTGTATCAACACTTCTACGGTTTTCCTTTCGTTCTTTTTACTATTGAAAATGAATAATGCTTACCAATATATTTTTTTCTTTTTGATTCTTCTGTTAGAGTAGCCATTTATTAGCGAAGCTTGCCCGTCCATCATAGTGGACGAGACAATGAATACAGGCTTCAGTAATGAACTACAACAATTACAAATGGAGCTTCGTATGTTATTTAATTTGCATTCATTTTCAAAATTTTGATAATTTTGATTTTAGGTGCTCAAAATTTTGATATTATCCGTTTTTCTACTTATCGAACGGCGTGTAAATTACGTTTTATACAAAAGAAGCTCAACTGTAAGTTTAATTCATATTGAAATATCGATTTCTTAAGTCTTAAATATTTTTTCAATTTGAATTCAACTGAGAAAAAGAAGTTGCAAACGATCTAATAAATATATTTAGTTTTAAATCGTTAGAAGACTGGAGATCCATATTAGGAAAATAATAGCAGGAAACTATTTACATAATACTAAATAATTACCATGTCGGTTATTTTTTTTCTTTTGCATCAATGTATTAGAATAATACGTTGAGTTTAAAAATCAACGCTAAAAAACTCCCTAAATGTTATCTTTACAACGTTTAATCAATATTATTTTAACATTTGTGCTTCGAATAGATTTCTGTGATTATGAATCATACACGTCCAATGGCTACCGTGTAAACAATAGAGATTTAATGATTTTTTGAAATTATTTTATCTCTGTTTATGCATTTAAATGATCTTTTATTTTTTTTTATTTTTCTATAAAATCATCGTTTTTTTATTTGATGAAATATTTCAAATTGGTTTTTTGAGTAACGTAATCCAAGAGTTAAGTGTATAGGGATGGTTTCTCATTTGATTGATTATCGGCGTTTGACATGAAAAAGAGTTCATCTCGGTCATTAAAGTCCGATAAGCTCATGCCAGTAACCATAGAAAAACCGAATAGACTAGAAGAACTAATTATAAATTAAAAAATTCACATTATAAAAGTTTCCATTTGAAATGACACGAGTCTTTCATGTTCTTCGATTAAAATTTAGGTTTTAAACATTCAGAAAAAAGTCTTTGCAAACCCTAGTTGCTTAATTAGGCGAAAAATGCCATCAGACTACTTCGAAAACACTGAAAAGATCATTCTCTATGCACAATCTGCTATCCATAATTATGTCGTGATAAAAATGATTAATCCTTTTAAATGTTGATCTATCTTGATCTATGGATTTTTCTTATTAAATTGATGTATATCCTAGACTAATAAACAGTCATTTTAGAGAATATGTCATTTTGATGTCAGATGCTATTTGACTTCATAGTATAACTACGAATAGATTCTTATATGGCTAAGAAAAAATATGAAAATTATTCAAATTTGTATTCGTTTTAATGAAATGATAGTACATCGTTTCTGAAGAGCCATTGAGGTCAAATGTGAAGGCTGTTCTATTTGAGATTTTCTTGTCATAAGATGACTTTCTAAGTTTCAAGCGGAAGAGGTTGTTCTTATCGAGACATGAAATTTATACGAAAAAAAAACTGATTGTCCCAAGAGAACACAACAGTTTAGAGCATTCGGATATTGAATATGTCGAGAAAAACATCAAGACTATTTAATAAATATTCAATCTGCCTACAAGCAAAGATTCAAACCAATATCCTTCTTTTTTCTTCTTCTTCAGAAGTCCTTACTCTCAGCAAAAGTTTAATTAAGACAAACATCAATCTGCATCACTAGACCTTGTATTCGAATCCCTTTGAGCCTTTTCTTAGTCTCGTCGTAACCAACTTGTAGCTATAATATAATATAATATCAAAAAGCATTCAACAGTTAGATGTTTATTCTTTTCAATGTATTTTGTTCTTATCTTGATGGATTTCTATCGCTTACAATCAAAATTATTATCTCTATAATGTTGTACCTAAAAATAATTATCTATGCATTTGCATTAAGGAAACAACGGTTTCTTTTTAAGTTCTTTTTTCTGCTTCAACAAACACACCCTCTGTTATGTTAGATCATTTCTTAATTAAACCTACAGAGTCGGAAAAAATAATCTACCAAAGAGGTAGTACGGTTCTAAATACAAACAAAATCAACCTTGAACTTCATAGTAAATGAAGCCTGTCAAACATGCGATTAAAGAATATGTGTAGTCGATCATGAAAAAAAAACGAATAAGTTTTACGCAATTTTTTTTGCCTATTAGACTTTGTTGAATAAGTAATCATAATCGCATACAAAATATGCTGAAAAAAACTTGAGAAAGCACTATCTATGAGAACCTATTATATAATTACTTTTTATTGCTGACAGTATGATTTACTTATCGCCGTGAAAAAGAAATCGTCTTAGCTACTAAATGATCGATTAAAAGCGCTATGCAAAATCCTATAGATGAAAAATAATATCTAGAATCTACTTTTCTTTCCTAATTATCTATTGGCTTGTTTTTCAAATTATCTGCTGTATAATGTTGAATTGTTATATGTATATTTTATAGAAATCAGGTGCATAACGAGGTCTAGAAACGTTTTTGTTTCCATTTAAAATATATTTATATTTTAATTGAAATTAAAAAAAACAAAATTCATTCTAGTCCATCTTCTCGATTTATTAAATGTCATTGAATCTCTTCGAGAATGCTTAACATGGCCATCATCAGAAATCAGTTCAAACAGTTTATCCCCTACAAATCGCCGTACACCAACACCAATACAATCATCATTATCAAATCATGATCAATTTCTTTCTATAAATCGTTTAACAACGTTTCTAACATCAATTTACACAAATTTAAATAAACGTCTCCCATCTTCACAACAAATTCTTCATATTGATAATTGTGTTCATTCAGCTATTGCTTGGTTTTTGTACGTTTATAATAATAATAATAATAATGATATAACAAATAATGTTTCCATACGTTTTAATTCATTTCGTGTCGTACTCGTACTTTTATGTACAGGAAAATTGGTTGATAAAATGCGTCATTTATTTACTTCATATTTATCACCATCCATGAATGCAATGACTTATGGACAAATTGATGAGCTTTTACATGAGATTCTTGCATTACCTTATGCCTTACAAGAAATTTCATATGCCACATATCGTTCAAATAATGCACAATTAATGTTTTCACATTTATCTTCACCATTAGTTAATGTTGAAGATTTTCTTGATACATTAATCTATAATGATACAACACCAAATTGTTTACAATGGTTGATTATATTCCATCGTTTAATCAGCGTTGAAAATGGTAAATGTTTGTTTTTTATTTGAATATCATAAAATCAATGTTGCTTTTTCTTTTGAAGTTATTCATCGCGTTAAATGTTCAGCATGTCAACGAGCATCGTTTTCTGGTTTTCGTTATAAATGTCAACAATGTCATGATAGAGCATATCAATTATGTCAAGATTGTTTTTGGCGTGGAAGAGTATCCGATCAACATTTACCAACACATGAAATGAAAGAATATACATTTTTTACATCGCCTGTTAAAGAGTTTCGCCAATCGATTCGAAGGTAATAATAGTTCTTTAGTTAAATACTGAATTTTTATTGTTTATTACAGTGACATCAAGTTGAATATTTTTAATTAAAGCTAATTTGAAAACTATCTGTCTGCTCTTCTAAAGGATTTTTTGTTGATTGAAAAGCCGAAACAACAAATACGAAACTAATCTACTAAATTTTCTTATCAACAACTCAATTACTAATTTTAGCCATTTTGTCACTTTGTTAATAATTTCTGACAGATTGTTTTATATTTATCCCGGTCCTATAAATCTTGCATGACTTTTAATTCTAAATAAAGTATGAAAAGATAAAGAAATTTCTCTGTATCTATCTAAAAAAAAGTCGTATAGTATAATAAATTCGAAATTTCTCATAAAACCGTAGCAATAAACGGAGCAAGGCATTATTCATTATATTTTGCTTTGAAAATCCTAATACGGAAAATCTGTTTTTTTCTATCAAATATATTTTTGTGTTTTCAATAGATCATTTCAATGTATGCCAAAAAGTGAAGATCGTCGTTCCCATTTGGCTTCGGCACCGTCTCCACGTTTTTTTTCATGGAAATCTCGTAACAGTAGTACAAAACGACATCAACAGCTAGTAAAACAACAACAACAACAACAACAACAACAACAACAACAACAACAACAACAACAACAACAAAAACAACAACAACAACAACAACAACAACAACAACAACAACAAACATCAATATCAATCTCATCACCATCAAGTCCATTAATGATGGAAAAAGAACAGATATCATCATGTTCATCGCCACAGCTAGTTCGTCTTAGTACACCAAAACCAATCAATCACGATGAACAACGATCATTAGTAGCACCAAAAACTGATATTAAAAAAATTGACGAAAATGGAAATGAATCTGATATGGATGAACATGTACAGATTGCATATTATGCTCAACAATTAGCATCTATTGTTGAAAAACAAAAACAGAATCCAACGGGCATTCAACCACCAATTAGATTTTCTTCATGTCCCATGAATTTACAAAACAATAATCAATATTATTCACGAATGATGACAACAACGCCATCAACGATGGTACCCATGTCATCTATTCGATCAATGCAAATGGATCATCAGAGTTCAGAAAAACGTTTAATTATTTCCAAACTTGAAGCTAAAAACAGGTAAAAATGAGTCCTCGATATATTTCGATTTTATTATTCACGTATTATAAGTTGAGATACGGTCAATAAGTACAGATATGACGGTAGTCATGCGAATAAGATAATAATACATAAATGACTAATTTTATTGAATAATAAAACTCGCGTAGTAGTTGAAAAATATATATAGAAAATATGAATGGATTTCTTAAATAGACAACTAAAAATAATTTCATGGATGTATTATGAATATTCTCTATGTTGTTTTGCTGGTCAAATGTAAGAACATTTGAATATGACAATGTATCTATCTATATGGATTAATTAAAATAAAATAGATATAAATAGACTGAGTTGACTATGTGTATAAGAATCACCTGTGTCAATTCTTGTTGAATTACGAGAATTCAACGCTTTTAACTAAATTTATTTTAAAAGACTTGATGATATGGTGTTTTAATGATCGGGTAAACCCCCCCCCCCCCCCCC